TCTCAAGAGTCTTCTCCAACACCACAGTTCAAAAGCATCAATTCTTTGGCACTCAGCTTTCTTTATAGTCTAACTCTCACATCCATACATGACCACTGGAAAAACCATAGCCTTGACTAGACGGACTGTTGTTGACAAAGTAATGTCTCTGCTTTTTAATATGCTGTCTAGGTTGGTCATAACTTTCCTTCCAAGGAGTAAGTGTCTTTTAATTTCATGGCTGCAATCACCATCTGCAGTGATTTTGGAGCCCAGAAAAATAAAGTCAGCCACTGTTTCCCCATCTGTTTGCCATGAAGTGATGGGACCGAATGCCATGATCTTAGTTTTCTGAATGTGGAGCTTTAAGGCCAACATTTTCACTCTCCTCTTTCACTTTCATCCAGAGGCTCTTTAGTTCTTCTTCACTTTCTGCCATAAGGGTGGTGTCATCTGCATATCTGAGATTATTGATATTTCTCCTGGCAATCTTGATTCCAGCTTGTGCTTCCTCCAGCCCAGCGTTTCTCATGATGTACTCTGCATATAAGCTAATTAACCAGGGTGACAATATACAGCCTTGACGTACTCCTTTCCTGATTTGGAACCAGCGTGTTGTTCCATGTCCAGTTCTAACTATTGCTTCCTGACCTGCATATAGGTTTCTCAAGAGGCAGGTCAGGTGGTCTGGTATTCCCATCTCTTGAAGAGTTTTCCACAGTTTCTTGTGATCCACACAGTCAAAGGCTTTGGCATAGCCAATAAAGCAGAAATAGATGTTTTTCTGGAACTCTCTTGCTTTTTCGATGATCCAGTGGATGTTGGCAATTTGATCTCTGGTTCCTCTCCCTTTTCTAAAGCCAGCTTGAACATCTGGAAGTTCACAGTTCATGTATTGCTGAAGCCTGGCTTGGAGAATTTTGAGCATTACTTTACTTGCATGTGAGATGAGTGCAATTGTGCAGTAGTTTGAGCATTCTTTCGCATTGCCTTTCTTTGGGATTGGAATGAAAACTGATCTTTTCCAGTCCTGTGGGCACTGCTGAGTTTTCCAAATTTTCTGGCATATTGAGTGCAGCATGTCACAAAAGGCAAAGATGAAATTGTCTTTGCAAAGCCTTATGGGAAATACCCAAGGTTTCAGTATTGGAAGGATGCAGGCTAACAGACTAACCTGTTGTTCCTGGTTTGTCTCAGTATACAAATTGCTGTTACTCACGAACAGTGGCATGTGATGTGCTTAGTCAAATGAAACCAGGAGAAAGTGTCAGTTTTCCTTTCATATTACTCATGGGGGGAAAAATCTAGAAGCAAATGTACTACCCTGTTATCTTTGGGAAATGGAATTGAGAGAAGACTTACTATCTTACTGTGTTTCTGTAGCATTTGGATACTTTACATGTTCATGCATTGCATTCAGAATTGGTGAAAGAACTGAGACGATCATGTAAATTTAAGTATCAGAGTCATCCCTTGTTTCTTTATAGTTCTTCCACAGCAGATGGAATAGTTTGCTTTTTAAGCCCTTCAGAACATTTTCTCTAAAACCCATTCCCCCTGCTTCAATCTGTAGCATCTGCCAACAGACCTATATTAATACGCAATTCCAGTTGGGGGAGAAAAGAACTCCAGCCAGGGATTAATTCCTTCCTGCTCTATTGTTGTATGATGACCCCGAAGCCAGAGCCCCTCACCAGTGAAGTCCTTTAAAGTGAAATGTGAGAGTTCTAAAGTACCCCACCTTTATCCCTTCCCCCATATCCTTACATTTACCCAGCAGATTTACCCATGGGAAGCCCCTTCTCCAAGAACCAGAGGAAGAAAGGGATTCATAAGAGGATTCTTGGGAAGAAAAGAGTCTACAACTAATATTGAAAGAGGCTTTTCACCTGTTTTTTCAAGCTAACATGGACTCATTCCTGGGATGACTCAACGTCTCCTTTATGAGTCCCAGAGGGATGGTGAATTGCAAAGAAAAGGGTTACATACAAGAGGCCAGGCTGCTAACAGGTGATGAGGGTTGGACACGTGCCCCTTAGCCAGGTCACCAGTGTGGCTCTGCTGATCTGCAGCAGATAAGTGACCTGAGGAGCCCCCATCTCCCCTGAGCTCATGGGCAATGCCCAGATGTAGATGTACCCTTCAACATGGCACACACTGGCTCTTCTTCCCACTTTCATTGTCACTGTTACTGAGAACACAAGACTGGATTTTCATCCAAATAGCCAGGGGTTGACAATGTTTGGGGAGAGATTGGCAAGGAGTGTCTCATTTTTTTGGTTTTTTCTTTTTTTTTTTTTCCTGGTTACAGCAGTGCAAGTATATCATCATGACTACTCTCAGAACTGGGTTTTTGAAGGTAGCATGATAGAATAATGATCAATTTAAGAGGGTCTAAATCTATATAATCTTAAACTGATTATGAACTCACAATTTGGGGTTCTAGGATTCTATGCAGTGACTTTAATTGTGAAGCCTCTAAAACAAAGTTTCCCAAACTTAGGTCCCCTGATTCTATTCTAGCAAGGAATAGAGACTGATCACCTATAATTCTCATAAGTAGCCCAGATGATTCTGTTTTACCCCAAGGACCTTAGCTTTAGAAGAATAAAACAGGCAGTGGCAATTCATAGTAAAAGTTAATTTATTGAGCATAAATTATGTTCTGGACCAATGCTAACCACTTTGCATGCATTAACTCATTGGTCCCTCCAATATGAAGGAGATGTTATTGCTATTGTCCCCAATTTACAGATGAGGACCCTGAGGCTTAGAAAGCTTGATAGCTTGCTCTAATTCTCACAGCTGATAAGACAGGAAATCTGAACTCATATCTCTCTGCGTTTTATAGCCCATGCTCCATGACACATTTTCTTGGGTTAAATCTTAAGATGGTGAACATCTTGACTTTGCACAATGTTAGGGATAGTTGTCTAGACCAAAGGTTTGCGACCTTGAGAAGGCTTTTTAAAAAATACTTGGCAGCAACCCAAGTATCCATCAATGAATGAGTGGGTAAACAAAATGTGATCTATCCCTAAAATGAAATATTATTCAGCCTCAAAAAGGAAAGAAACTCTGACACATGCTACAACATAGATGAACCTTGATGACATTATGCTCATTGAGATAAGCCAATCACAGAAGACAACCATTGTATGAGTCAACTCATATAAAATCCCTAGAGCAGTCAAATTCCATAGAGACAGGACATAGAATGGTGATTGCCAGGGGCTGGGGATGGGGAGGGGTGGTGGGAAGAGTGAGGAGTGAGTGTTTAATGAAAGCAGTTTCAGTTTGAAATGACTAATGATGGTGATATTTGCACAACATAAATGTACTTAGTGCTAATGAATTGTACACTCAGCAGTGGTAAATTTTATGTCAGGCACATTTTACCACAATTTCTATTTTTAAAAACTGGTGTCTGGCTTCTACACCAATTAAATTGGAATCTCTCCAGAATAGGGCCAACCTTTTGGCATTTGTTTTTAATACTATCCAAGTGTTTCTGATGGGCACACAGGGTTAAGAACTCCAGAATTCAGGATACAGGGTTCTGGAGTTCTCCCTGCCGGCAGCCCCTGGCATCATTTCAAGCTCTCACTCTTCCATTCACACAAGAGGCCCGAAAGCAAGACTAGCTGGGGAGGCAAGTCTCCCAGCCTGTTGCTAAGTTGGCCCAGGTCCAAGAATTAATGGAAGGTTCCAGAAGCAGAAGGCTCTGTGGTTTACTGGGAGTTTCTCTGACTTGTAATTGTCTGTATATGCCTCATTCCCCTTCATAGTTCACAAAGAAGGGTGATTATTACTGAAGTGCTGTGCTTTCAGAGTCAAGAATAGATGTTCCCACAGAAACCTGTAGTTCATGGCATGGATCGAATCATTCTGTCCGTAACTTACAAATGCAGATTTCCATTGTTCTTTGGGCTGCAGCACAGCTTTTGGGGGAGAGCTCAACAGTGGGAGTTATGATAAAGAGGGCTTATAAGAGAGAAGGATAGCATCTGACCTTCAGCTCAGCAACAAGGACTCTCTGAGCATCTCGCCTTTGCCTGGGGCTCCAGGATGCCATCAGTGAACTCATATTCTGTAGGAAAACAGATGTATTCATCACCCATTCAGCCAATACAGATTTCTTGAGTTCCTACAATGGACCAGACATCTCTCCAAAGGGCACAGAAGATTCTGTGCCTTTGCACAAGGATACTATGTTGAGCCTAGTGATACCCTGGATCGTGCGGAGGTCTGAGGAAACTCAGAGGAGAGAGCAGGATGGCTGGGAAATTGGGAAGTGGTAGCTGCTACTCACCAATCAGTACAGAAGTTTTCCAGTATTCTAACAGCTGGGGAAGCTGTATGAATAAGTGCCAGATGAATGACATTTTGGCTTCGACGAAAGGGTGAACAGGTCAGCCAGGGTCCCTGAACTTCTAGCATAAGAAGCAGACAATCTTTTTCTGTCATAGACCAAATAATAAATATTTTAGGACTTGTAAGTAATGTGCTCTCTGTCCCAGCTACTCAGCTCTGTTGTTATAAAAGCAGCTACAGACAGTAGTAAACAAATGATTGTGACTATGTTCCCTACAAACTTTGTTTACAAAAATGGCAGGCTGGATTTGGCCTATGGGCCATAGCTTGCAGAGACCCCTGTTCCAATGGATGAGACAGATGTACCTTTTCATCCTTTCAGCATGCAAATATTTATTTCATACCATTTACATGACAAATATTGCATTGGACAGTGGTATACTGTGCTGAACAAGATAGATAATGGTCCCTGCTCACATAGCACTTATACTCTAATGGGAGAGGCTAAATCATTCTTTTCAATATGCTATGGTAAATACTAAGTTGAAAGTTATCAGGAACTACAGAAGAGGAAGTTAACTCAGACTGGGAGTTCAGGGAAGACTTCCTGGAGGAGGTGGTAACCATGCCACTGGCTCAGATCAGCCTGGGAAGCCATGTCTTTCCTTATGCGTTGTCATCTCCAGTTCTTCCCTTGTGTCCCCTAGGCTCAGAACAGCTATGAGGATGGAGACATTGAAGGATCCAAGCGGCTTGGAAGGAATGCCAAGTGGGTGGCCGTTGCCTCCATCATTATTGGCCTTCTCGTCATTGCTATTTCTTGTACAGTTCACTTCACATGGAAGTAGGTAAGCTTTTTTGTTTTTTTTTTATATTTATTTTTATTTGTTTGGCTGTGCCAGGTCTTAGTTGTGGCACATGGAATCCATCTTTGTTGCAGAATGTGGGATCCTTAGTTGCAGCATGCAAGCTCTTAGTTGTGGCATGCGGGATCTTTAGTTGCAGCATGCGAAATCTAGTTGTGGCAGAGGGATCTTTAGTTGTGGCATGTGGAATCTTTAGTTGCAGCGTGTGGGATCTGGTTCCCCGACCAGGGATCAAACTCATGCTCCCTGTATTGGGAGTGCAGAGTCTTAGTCACTGGACCTCCAGGGAAGTCCTCTAAGGTGCCTTTTCTTGAAAAGCCCACTGGAATCTGCTAGGGTAACAAACGGTCTCAAACAAAAGAGTTTTCATTTTTCCTCACTGCTATTCCATAGGCCACGTGGGTTTGTGGAAAGTCTCTCCTCCACACAGTCCCTCAGAGTCCAGACTGCACCAACTTGTAGCTGCTCTGTCTGGAACAGGAGTCAACAAAATTCTCCTGTAAAGGGCCAGATGATAAACATTTTAGGCCACTATTAGCATCTCAGTTGCACCTACTTAACTCTGCCATTTTAGCATAGAAGCAGCCATATCCAGTCTGTAAATGCATTAATGTGGCTGTGTGTGATAAAGCTTTATTTATAAAAACAGGGAGCTGGCCCATGGCCCTTTGTTTTCCAGCCTCTGATCTAGAACATGAGGGCTTCTCAGGCTAAGACAGGGAAGAGGAAAAGCCAGAGAATCCCACATGAGTTTTCACTGCCTCAGCCCTGGAGGGATACTTGGCACTTACGCTCATAATTGATCAACTAACACCAGTCACATAGTTCCACCTAACTGTGAGAGAGTGGGAAATATGTGACAAGAAGTGGAGCTTTACGGTTATCACTTGCTCTGCCTTAGCATCTAATCTGCTGAATGATTTCCTACATGACACTGCATCCAACTAGCCTAACTGTTCTTAGTTTAAGAGCTGAAGGGTCTCTACCTATGTCTGGTATTTTCAGCTCTCATCTCACAAAGAGGTGATGTTTCTCTCTGGATCTGAACAAATTTATTCTGATTTCTCCAGCCAACGGAGGTGGGCTCCATCTGCTAGAACCAACGATATTTTCCGTCAGAGTTTTGCCAAAGGGCAAGGTGGTGTGATGGATAACCAGGATCTGGGAATGACAAGCCCAGATTCATCTCTGTCTCACTGTGTAACTCCTGGCCAAACAGATAAGAATTCAGAAATCCTTCCAGTCTTCTCTCATAGCAGCACTGTTCCTCCAACACCATTTCTCTCAAGCTGGGAAAATCAGTCTTTTTGAATGATCTTTTTGACTTGGTTTCAGGAAGGGGCCCATTGGGTGGGTATGGGAGGAAGGGGACACCTTTTAGATCAGCCAGACTCACCTTGGCAACCAAGAGGGTAGTGGATGTCCCAGTGGGTCAACTTCCTATCAGACAAGCCAGATCCATGAGCAATCAGGGGCCATTGGATGGAGGAGGAGATATCAAAATAGGAAGTGTCATAAAGGAAAAAATTGATGGCTTTGACCAAAAGAGAGGAGAAAAGAACACTAAGATGTCAAAAGAACCTCAAAGTGTCTTGCCTACAAGATGGCAAATTGATGATGTTGGCCTATGAAGAAGACAGTTGAAAGATAGATGAGAACACACCTGACTTGACTCTTTAATGAAAGCATAATGTGCTTGCATGTGTGAGCATGGGGCCACGGGGTGTAGGGTAGCATGTACAGGTTTTGGACCAGACTTCCTGGACACAAGTACCCCCCTTTGCCACTTGTTTACTGTGAGACCTTCAGCCAACTGCTTGCCTCCCTCAACTTCAGTTTCTTCCTCTGTAAACTGGGGTTTATAGTTGTACCCATTTAATAAAACTGTTGTGAAGGTTATTGAGATGATGCCTAGAATGTGTGTAGGTTGGCATCTGTTCCTTCTCAGTGCATAAAGAAATACAAACCATTTGTTAATTATTACTATGATTATCAACATGACTGGAGGAAGGACCTCAAAGAGTTTAAGATGCTATTGAACTGAGTTCAGGGCTTTGAATAGATGAGCCAAACTTGAAGGACGGTGTTTCAGGGAAATAAGACCAAGTCCTGGTGTAACTCCTGGGGACTTGTGAAAATACATCAGATCAGTGTTTGAGCTAAGTGGTTATAATAATAATAGCAACTGACGCTGACTTAGAACTCACCATATGCCAGGTACTGTTCCACGCTCTCACATGAATTAAATCTCACTGAGTCCTTACAACAACCCCAGGAAGGTGATATTATCCCTATTTTTGCAGATGAAGAAATGGAGGCTCAGAGAAATGAGGTGACTTGTCTGATACCTCACAATTAATTAGAAAAGACGGAGGGTAAGCCCAGGGTAACCCGGCTCTGGAAAATATTTGTTGTTATTTTTTGCTGTCCTGGCTCTGGAAAATGTTTGTTGTTGTTTTTTGCTGTCCCTGCAGACCTTAGCTGAGGCTTGCGGGATCTTTGATCTTTGTTGCAGCATGCAAGATCTTCTTTTAGTTGTGGCATAAGAAATCTAGTTTCCTGACCAGGGATTGAACCCAGGCCCCCTTCACTGGGAGCAAAGTCTCAGCCACTGGATTGCCAGAGAAGTCCCTGGAAGATGTTGTTAACCACACCACCTCACAACCTCTAAGCCAGCACGTCCTTTCTAGTACACACACTAACAAAGGCCAGTAGATGGCTCTTACCTTGTGGTTGACTCTAGAATTATTTCTATAGTGCTGGTGCCTTGAGGTTCCAACCCACCAGAAGAGCATGATGATTTAGGGCCAAGGGTAAGAAAATCAAAGGGCTGCAGGAGTGAGGCAGGGAACATATTATACATGCCTGAAGCAGGTTGGTCGGGAACAGTGTGGACTGTGGTGAGAAGAGGAGCACAGTTTAAAGGGAGCAGCCACCACTCTGCTCTTGCTGGTTGTCACCACTTAGAACACAGACCTCATGGGCTCATTTTCCAAAAGACATTGGAAAGCTGGGTCTTTATTTAAAGTCTCCTGATTTTTAGATATTGACAACCAATTCACACAGTTTAAACACATGATGAGGGCCCCAAACAAAACAAAAACATACAAAAATCACACCGGCAACCTGGACATTATCTACTTTATAGAGTTTCTGGTGGACAATTTGGCTTTCAAAGTTCAGTTTGCCTGTTAGATTCCAGGCAAGAAGTTTCACTGGGGACCCACAAGTCTTCCTCCATTGAGGAAGTCCTCGTATGGAGGACATTCTTAATGTTTCTGTGTGCAGGTGAAGCACTGACGTTTGTATACTTATGATTGAGGTTTCGTTAGTAGTAGTCATGAAGGATAGGAGAGGAGGTCTCCTCTCCATTGCTTCTCCCTGATGGGAAGTGTTCCACAGTGGTTAGAGCCTGGCCCTCAGCACTCATTTTGCTAGGACTCAAATCCTAGCTCTACTGCCCAAACCACCCTGGCATTTTTTTTTTTAATATTTACTTTTGTCTTACCTATTTATTTGGCTGTACCAAGTCTTAGTCATGGCACACAGGATCTTCAGTCTTCATTGCTACATGTGGGATATTTAGTTGTGGTGTGCAGGATTTTTTTTTTAAGTTGTGGCAAGCAGCATCTTCTAGTTGTGGCACACGGGATCTTGCATATGAACTCTTAGTTGTGGCACTTCTGTGGTATCAAAAAAAGCAAAAATGTTTTCCAGAGTTAGAATTCCATGGAGAAACTAAAATTTAAAAGCTTTGTCATGTGTGTGTGTACATATGTATAAGAGACAGTAAGAAACTAGACCTCAGTGAATGAAATCAGTTCTGTTTTCCATTAAGACCAAGAACAAGACCTGATTTCTCAGTAATCCTTTGAAATAAAATTTCCCAGCCTGGCTTACTGGAGAAATTGAATCACATTGTGGAATTACTAAAGTAGAGGTTCCCAAACTTTGGGCTGCAGAATACTTACCTGGGGAGTTTTAAAAGAGTTAGACATCTGAACCCTACCTCAAAGGATTCCAACTTACTGAGTCAGAAGCGAGGACCAAGAATCTGCATTTTCAAGCTCCCCACTCCCTCCCAAAGACTCTGCTGCAGGTGATTAGAACACTCTGCCAGACTTCCTTCCTCCCAAATCGGAAAGGAAGAACACATTAATAGCACCAGCCATTAACAGACTGGTCAGTTTTCATTTACATCAGCAAAGTCGTCATCCTAACATGTTATATCAGACTCAAGGCCAAGGACGGGAATCATTTTACCACCTAGAAGGTGTACCCGCAGAGAGACTCTTTTGTAACAATCAAAGCAAGGACCTCCATGGCAGGGCTGGGAAAATCTGACTTTAGAGAAGGCCTAGCCTAGAGGCAAGACCAAAAGCTTTGAGTATGTCAGTTTTCTGTATTTCATTAAAAAAAAAAAAAGTCTGAAATCTCTTACTATCTTTTAAAACTTGTTAAGTGCTGCCTTTAAACAAAGGGCTTCCCATGTAGCTCAGTGGTAAAGAATCTGCTTGCCAATGCAGGAGACGCAGGTTCAATCCCTAGGTTGGGGCGATCCCCTGGAAGAGGAAATAACAACCCACTCCAGTGTTCCTGTTGGGATAATCCCATAGACAGAGGACCCTGGTGGGCTACAGTCCACGGGGTCACAAAGAGTTGGACAAGACTGAGCACACATGCCTTTATGTGTGTGTATATATGTATATGTGTGTATGTATGTGTGTGTATATATATATATATTCCTTACCCTTATTAAGAAAACTGTAACCAATCTCTCCTCTCTCAAATGACTGAAATCTCTGGTAGTTCACTTCCTTGGAACAGATTCAGGTCATGATAGTCTTCACCCAAGCTCATATGAAACTCTCATCATCCTAATTTTTTTTCCTTCCAGCTTTATCGAGATTTAATTGACATATAGCACTATGCAAGTTTAAGGTGTGCAGCACAATGAGTTGACTTACATACACCATGAAATG